TTGCAGCAGACTTTCTCCAAAATCACGCATATATTGACCTGGTTGTAAAAGAAAGGCTAGCGATGGTGAAACATGGTGTCGTTCCTGCTAACAAGTGAACAAATATTTCGGCAACATCAATTTGTTTTGTATCAATCCTTCTGCCTCAGAAAGGAAAAATATGCTTAGACTCTCCCAAAACCTGGTTTGTTGATGGTTGAAGGCAGAAAACAATATAAAAGAGCGAAATTTCCAGGAAAAGCAGTCCAGCTTGCGCAAAATATCACCTCAACATATTTTTTCATGGTTCTTCATCTTTTGATGCTGGGCGTCCTCTTCGTTCAATGTACCCAATCACAGGGCCTGGAGAAAATCCAATATTCTCCGGGGTATCTAGTCGATGTTTCCTAGCATTCTTGGTTTCAAATAGGCCCTCAAAATCGACGCAAGGGATGCATTTGCAGCAAGCGGTCATGCAGCAAGCCGTACAAGGATTGATGGATTCTACCGGAACCCCTTCATATTTAACAACATCACAACAAAGACCTCCAAACCAGGCGCTTCTGAACCGATCAGGATGCCCGGCATCAATCGTTTCCCTCAATTCCTCCCTCTTTAATCTCTCTCGGGTTTCGTAGCGAGTTCTTTTTGAGCTATCATACGGAAATCTGAGGTGCTCAGTCGGTTGCTTCCAATGCTTTGAACGCAGAATGTCCTTCTCTCCTTCTGAAACATTCAGCTCAGTTCACACTTCACTAAGAGCCTTACGAGTTAACAGGGCAGCTCGTCGACTTCCTGGAACGTATGGTGTCAATCGCTTTCTATACAGTGTGTCAATTTCTGTGCCAAACGGATCCAAATCCTTTTTCGACATCCGTTTCGAGTTAACATACAACAGAATTTCGTTGCCATCAGTATCGAGCACCTGATACAATGAACATCAATCCTCGTTTTCAGTTACCCCTTCCTCCTCACCCGATATCTCAGGATTCTTCGTCCTCTTTTTCCTGCTGCCATGTCATTCGGGCCTTCGACTACAATAAATCCTTTCGATTTTTTCTCTATTTCCCGGTTCTCTACTGATTCAGCTTGACGCAACTCTTCTGCGTGTTGTTCGGCAGTTTCCCATGCCTCTGTCCATTCTTTCGGTATGAAGGTTTCTCGTCGTAGATCTACAATTGGTCTCCTGTAAAGCTCACTCTTTTGTTCCTCCGTCAAATTCATTTGGTCGACTCTTATTGGTGGATATGGTGGAGGTGGACCTTTCGCTTCTGGAAGCATCACCCTGTAAGGCTGAACCGAAGAGTTAAATTGGGAACTGAGGTCTTCTAGATGTGAAATAGCCGATCTACTATCAGCTAACGGAGAACCCGGAACGTCACTATTGCTTATAGAATGCTCTGAGGACTTCGCGTAGCTTTCGTCATTCGCAGACCTCTCTGAACTCCTGCGAATTCCCATCACCCGGTCTACAATGTCCGTCATAAGAACAAAATTTTACAAAAAAACAGATAGAGGAAAGTGGAATTTAGTTTGGGACTTCTTCGTGGTTGGGGATGTCTTGTAGATGAAATTTTCCAGCATGCACAAACATTGCTAAATGTGCCAAAATTTGTAATGTGCCAAAATTTGTAATGTGCCAAAATTCGTGGAAGAGTCTTCTAAATAGTTTCAATTACATGTGGGAAATAAAAAAGAAGAAACAGAAAAAACAGGTTAGTGGTGTTTGTGATTGAGAATTTTCTGATCACACTCTTTGCCAACGCATTTGAAAGCAACGCTGAACTCGACAATTGGCTCAGCCACAACAGTCTTCAAGCAAACATTATCCTCCAAGTGAAATCCTGAACGGCACTGGATAATGAACGGCGCTGTCTTGACACATCTATCATTTTCGGTTTCAGGGCCTTCCGGACAAAAGGCGTTAATTGCAGTTTCTTCCTTTGCTATACAATGGAATTTTCCAACTGTTGACGAAGGGAAATAGCCTTCAGGGCAAAACACTTTAGCCTCTTCACGAACACCGCCATCTTTTTCCGCGAAGGGCACCTCTTTCTCGGCATAGCACTCTTTTCCTTGCTTCTCCGCGCCCTTGGGACAAATTTCTTTGCGGTTTCAATATGCTCACGCTTGCAAGTTTTTTGAACTTCGTAAATTCTATCAGTTGGAGGAGCGTCTTTCTTTCCAACAACAACAACCTTCGCATGGTGCTTCTCAACCAGGGAGCGAAGCTTCTTGCTGTGCTCCTTGCCTTTTGGTGTGCAGTCGAAAGTTTCCACAGATTTACAACGTTTCTCTTTGGTGAACGTGAATCCAGTAGGACAGATGAGTTCTGGCATTACGGGGACTTTGGTAACGCAAGCTTCCTTGCGCTGAACCGATCCATGTGGACAATAGAACTTGCTCGGCAAAGGGGTGCGGCGACTGCACTGAAGATTTTTTTCTTGCAGTTTGAAGCCTTCTGGGCACGAAACGAGAGTCTTGGCTTGTTGAGTACGAAAGCAGGTACCCTGAATATGAATTGGTTTCAGACAAGCTAATTCATGGCCTTTTCACGGATAAAGCCAGCGGGGCATTCCAGAATCATCTTAAAATACTTCGTGCAGTGAGAATCCTTCCCCTCAGATCGGGCATATCAGGTCACCGAGCAAGCGGCGGTTCGGTTAAAACCTTACTGCATTTCTTCCCCTCCAGGTGAAAGTCTTGTGGGCACGACAAAGTTCGATCGCGCTCCTCGTGCTTTTGGGCAAAGCACATTGGTGTTGCAATTGCGAGCACCAGCAAAAAAACCTTGAATTGCATCGTTTCGAAGAGAAAATGGGGAACTTCAGAATAGGTTAAACAAGATTTGAAATGGTTCCTTGGACCTTCTTGTTTGCGGCAGAGACATAGATTTGAAAGATCTCCTTCTGCAAACAATAGCACTTTTTTGCGAAAAAGGAGAATATTCACATAAAATAAATGGGCACATGATTATTTAACGGGTAGAAAATGAGATGTGCAGTTTTCTTCTTTTCTTTCGTGGCTCCGGTCATCAGTAATTTCGCATCATGCGCAACAATTCCACTTCGTTATTCACCGGGCTCTCAGTATGTGGGTGAAATACGGGGGTGAGGGAGTTCATGAAAAGCCTTCCACTACGTTCGTTTTTCTATAAAGCGGGAAGCCCAAATCAAACCTTTACTGTTTTGTTTGACACTGGGTCCGGTTACACGTGGCTGACCAGCACATATTGTGGGAAGCCAAGCTGTCTGGCCCAGTGAGCTACACCCACAGAATCAAATTAGCTTTGAACTTTTCAGTAAACGGTTTGATCCAACGCTCTCATCGTCCTGTCAAACTCCTATTGACGTATGCTCAACACATTTCTGCAGTCTGATTTGGTTCCGACTTTACAGAAAAAGGAGATTGAGATTGAGTTTGGGTCTGGCTCGCTATCATTTAGAGAAGTGAAGGACTCATTGTGTCTGGATAATTTGTGGTACGACAAATGCGATAAGGATCCCCTTCTTTACGGCAAAGTGCAGTTTGAAAAACCAAGCAATAGGATTGGTCACTGACCAAACCCCAGAACCGTTTTTGCGCATGCCGTTTGGTGAGCGTGATCCTCTGAAAAAATACAGAGCCATGCGATCAAACAGACGGCATCGTTGGTTTGAGTCTCGACGGCCTAGGGTTCTCATCTTCAGACTCATTAGTAGGCAATTGCATATTCATGGCTCCTGCCAGCCGTAGAATTTTCAGATTGATTCAATTGAAGCAGCTGGAAGTCAACCCCGAAGAAGCCGCTTTCAAAAGTTCACAACAAATCGATTACCGGCACTCTCGGAAGAAAGGCTGATGATCTCGTATCAAATCAAGACTCCAAAAGCCGACGACGGACCATCATGGAACCATCTCATTCACATTCAAGAGTGACGGGGATGCTGACAAGTAAACACAAAGCTTCAGCAATGATGGGGAATGTGGCTTTCACAAGGGAGTTGCGATGGATTCCAGTCACGGCGAACTCTTATTGGGTGCGCTATGCGACATTTGAATTAAGGCAAAAATAGTTCGCAGAGAATTCCGATGAAGGATGTTGCTATTGATGGAATTTCACTGGGAATGTGTCTTGATCGTGACGGAGGAACTTGTAATGTGAGTTGATCGAAACAAAGGATCACGTGTGTTACTCTTATAAGATAGGCTGTTATTGACACCGGAACGCTTGATATCATGGGTGGGTAACATGCATAGATCGATGCCCGACAAGGTGATCAGGCGGGAAAAAGGATGTTGAAATGCTCCGATCCTTGGCGGGGTTCAAGCGAGTCTCCGTGAAACAGTTGCTTAGTATTGAGAAGGTTGATTTTCAGGCAAGGGTGCACCGCATGGAACAATCTCAGGTCTTTAGTATTTCAGTTTGTTGGCGAGAACGGTGAGTCGGGCTGACTATTTTTCATGAGTTTTCATTAGAAAATCAGGAGCATCTTTGGACATTCCAGTTTCTCCACAACAATTATTTGGGGTGATGGATGTGGAAGGTGCTCGTCCTGATTGCCGTGGTGGTGTGGTGGTTGGGCCCAATGTTTGGTGCTGCCTATCCAGATGGAGGTGCAAAACAACATATGCATTAGCCTCACTTTCTCGAAACAGACAAAGCAAGGCTAGATTGGATACTAGGGAACGTATTTCTTCGTAATTTAGATGTCACATTTGACCCCTGTAAGAAGTTCACTCTTCACAAGTTTCCTTATTGATTGATTTTCAGTAAGACGCCGTGTTGGTTTTCGACAGTTGGTCCAGAGAAGACATTTAAAATAGATCTTAGAAAGTTTTTGTGTAAAACTTGCGTGACGATTTTTCTGTAACCAGAAGATCTCCTATCATACTAGTCAACATTTCTTCAATTAAAAAATCAAACAAGTGATGGCTTCTAGTGAAGCCGTTTGTTGAAAGTTATTTTCTTACAACCAAAACAAAACGAAAACGAATTTCGATGAAAATATTACGTTTCCTATCAAGGGTTAACCAACCAGCTAATATTCTTGAGATTCGGCTGCACCCTTCTTGCTTCTAGACTTGGGCAGTAGAACGGGTTGGATGGATGGCAAAACACCACCAGATGCGATTGTGATTCCAGTGAAGAGCTGGTTTAATTCATCATCGTTCCTGACAGCGAGCTGAATGTGACGTGGAAGGATTCTCGTCTTCTTGTGATCGCGAGCAGCGTTGCCTGCCAACTCAAGCAATTCGGCACTAAAAGAAATTAAAAAAAAATGCATTCAATGCAACGAAACAAAACCTTACGCGAGGGTACTCCAAAATAGCCGCAAAATAAACGGGAGCCGCACCACCCACACGATTTGCATAACGTCCCTTTTTCAATAATCTTGCAATTCTGCCAACGGGGAAAGTAATATTGGCCCTTTTTGATTTTGAAATGGCTTTGCCACCGGTCTTCTTGCCAGCTTTGCTCTTGCCTCCTTTGCCTTTGCCGGACATCTTGATATTTGAATAACGAGGAAGTAAAAAGTTGAACGAAGTAATTTAGTAGACAAACTGTGGTGCAATGATCGAGCCTTGCCTTGTGTGTGGGAGGTACAGCAGATCAGCGCGACTGACACAAACAAAAGACATGTGTCTCTTGTCGCCCTTTGGGACACCACCCGACATGTATATGTCTCCCAGAGGTCAGGCAACTTAGCAAACAGAAAGGGTGCTGCGAATAATACATCAGTTTGTTCCAAATTGAACAAAAATTACACAATTCAATAGCTTGCATCACGACTTCTAAGAAAATTTAAACTTTAACGGAAAAGCAGCCGTCATAAGGCCAGCTTCTCAAGTGCACCTTGTGCATATCAAAATCTGAACAGTGTTGCTACGACAAGCACAGGAGATTGCACACAACCTACTTTGCAATTGTTTCCTTACCAAGAGCAAAAATAAGCACGATCGCAATCGTGACGCCTAAAATGGATGAAACGAGTTCAGTAACCATTGTTGAGAATGCAATGATGTGATTTGTGAGTTTTAGAACGTTCGAGCGACAGCTCAGGCCAGACACAAATGGAACATTTGTAAAAAATTGAATCGACCAGAGCAAAGGACACAATCAAGGACAATCAGACGCAAAACGGAGGAGCTTAACGTCGAGGTGATCAGGGGCACCAAACCTGTTCCGCATACGTGAACCACTGTACCACATATTCTTCGGTCATCACGATCTTCTCAGTCACATTGGTTGCTGCGACAATGTCTCTTGTTGAAGTTCCCCATAAGATCGCATTCGTTGTCCAATTCATTCCACCCTAACATCCAGCGTTTTGTTAAACAACTCATTCTTTTTGGTGCTGAGCTATTTGCATCAATATTCATACCTCTGTTGCAATGAGTTGCTGACATCCTCAAACGAGTTGATGATAGTGACTGATTGATTTTCTCATCATTCACTGTGTGTTGTTTTTCCTGGCTTGAAGTTCATCCCCAATTTCCGTGTGCGCCAGTTACTCATCCACTCACTATCATCATTTGCCTGAGCAATCGGGACATTATCCCTCTATAACTCATCACTCCTGTATATTGGAATCTGTTTTCTTTCTTCACTGATCTCGTTACGTAATCATCAGTTCACCCTTTTCTTCAAAATTTCTTTATCCCTCTGTATATTAATCGTCCCTCTTCGCCGGTCGCTACAGTTTTCGTTTCTCAAGGTATTCCGTCCTTCGCCATAATGATGTAGATTTTCTCTAATCCTCAGATCTTCATTTCTTCTTCTCTCCCTTTTTCCTCGTCTTCTGTTTCCCTCATCAGCCCTTTCTGGCCTCTTGTTTTTGTTGTGGTCGTCAACTTAATCCAACTTGGCGATGGGGGTTTTCCCTGAAACTGTCCCAGTCGAGGATTCAACAGTTCGCGAAATATATTCGTCGCACTCAGTGAACAAAAGTATATCGAAAACCCCATCCAAAAGAAAGCTGAGTAGTGCTAGTATTAGCACTCGTACAAGCGAAGGGTATTCCAGTAAAGGCGCTGAGCTCAATTCGGAGTTCCCATCAACTCTTCGCCCTCACATTCCTGTGCAAGCGACAGGGTACTGCTCATCAGCTTGGCGTGATGTTCTCTATTGGTCTTTTGGTTTCTTAACTGTTGGCGTTTCGTTTCTGCTTTCAAAATGGTTCAATATCGCAGCTATCAAGGCTCGGCGGGTTCGTTGCCCGATTGACAAATGCAACCTTATTCTACTCCAGACGATGAATGGAAAAGAGATTCCCATAAAAATTGTTGCCCGTCGTGTGAAGTTACAAGACCTCTGCCTCACTCTCAATCGTGGAACATCAAGCGATAGAAATGAAGATTCTTCAGTTGAAGTGGTGCAAACAGACAACAGTGACGAAATCGACGTCTTGGCATTCGAGTTTCATTGCCAGTGCTTCATTTTCAACCACTGGGATGTTCGTTTCGTTAGTGTTGAATTTCCGATTGAAAAGCAGCTCTTTTCAAAAATTTGGGAACGTCACGGCTCTGGTCTCCAGGATATCAAAGAAATTGAAGTGAGACGCAACCCATAGACTCTTGACGTTCGTTCTTTCAGTCCCGTCGCCAATTATTTGGAAAGTGCGAAGTTCACGTTCCTCTGAAGTCCTCGTTGGAATTGGTGGCTACAGAGTGTTTCCATCCCTTCTATGTGTTTCAAGTTTGCTCCCTTACTTTATGGTTCTTCGACACTTACTATTATTACGCGTCAGCCGTTTTACTTCTCAGTTGCATTTCACTTTTCATTTCAACCCGTGAAACTCTGTAAGGTTCCTACCTGTGTCTCTCATTTTGGAAGTTTTTATCAGGAAGAATAACCACAATCTCCACGAGATGGCGAAGTTTTCTTGCCCTATTCGTGTTCTTCGCGCTGAGCCACCTCGGCATATTCAGGTAAGCGACGCCTGGTCACCTGAAAATTCAATTCATTAGTTGCAGCTTTTGACTGCAAAGCAGGCCGATGCTTGTCTTTCGACCGTCGTCTCTACTGAACTTGTTCCTGGGGATGTTTTCGCCTTGGAGCGTGGAATCAAACTTCCATGCGACGGAATACTTCTTGTTGGGAGCGTGAGTGCTGGTTCTCCGATGCTAGCGATAGCTTCTCCATTAGGCTCTCATTGACGAGTCCATGATGACGGGAGAATCGAAGCCTGTCTACAAAACACCCCTTCCCTTAGCGTCGGATGACAAAACCATGCATGATCGTCCTTTCAGTTTCAAGCGACACCATAAGCACATTTTGTATGGCGGCAGCGAAGTACGAGACGCTGGACATCTTGGCGGTCCTGCTCTCTGCCTGGTTGTGAAAACGGGTTTCTCCACTGAACAAGTAAGAGAGAAGCCCTTCATCTGAGTGTCAATTGTTTCCATCAGGGGCGAATGATGCGGTCTCTCGTTCATCCAGTTGCTTCAAGCCGAATGAACTTCGAGAGAGAGACTTGGAAGTTTGTTGGTCTTCTTGCGGCAATGAGCTGCTTTACATTTGGGCTCACTTTGTATCAAGGGATTAAAAACGAGTTGCACCCATTTACAGTATTCAAGCGTGCAATTGACACCGTCACTATTGCAGTTCCTCCGGCGTTACCTATCATCATTTCTGTCGGAATTATTTGCGCTCAAGACGCGTGAGTCACTGATGGGTTCAAAAATTCACTCAGTTTCGTTTGTTTGAAACCTAGATTGAGAAAAGGCAGTGGAACCCGATGCCTTGCTCCGACACGCATCAACGTTGCGGGACGCACTAATGTGATGGTTTTTGACAAGACAGGTGACGCTCCCCCCATGGGTTTCACCCAAAATCTTGTCGCGCTTCGCAGGAACATTGACCGAGGATGACGAAGATTTGCTGGCAGTTGTTCCCTCAACATTTCTGGAAACCAGCGGATCCTCTTTGGATGCCGTGAACTCAACGCTCCCATTTCGTTTTCCCCAAGGGACTTCCTTTAAGCTCCAGCGCGTCTACAAGAACTCCCTCTACTCATGGTGATCCGGTCCCTCACCTAGGACCTCCAGCAACGACGCCAAGTCAGCTCTCTGACGACTTTGTTGTGGGGCTTGCAACTTGCCACAGTTTGGGATTCGTTGAGAACGAGCTAATCGGGGATCCGCTTGAGTATCAAATGTTCAACTTCTCTGGATGGGAGTTCGTTCCTCCAAAGTCTCTTGCGAGAATTGAAGAGCTTGAAGAGGATCATTGCGGAACGACGCGTGATCCTATTGATGATCTTGATATGTACAACTCAGTTGTCGAACAAACGGGTGACTCTTCGAACAATGACGCGACGTCTGAAGAGGGTGATGCCCAGTGCAAGCAAAGTGGAGATGCGAGCCGTGAGGGTGCGGAGATGGAAGCGCGCGGCCGTTCCTTCGTGATTTTGCGCGTCTTTGAATTTGATCCATATCTACAGCGGATGACGGTCATCGTCCAAAATCGCGAAACTGGCGACTTGAAAGTTTTCTCAAAAGGATCCCCGGAGAGAATCTCCCAATTGTGTCTCGATGACTCGATCCCTTACGATTGGGATCGGGTTCTTTCAGATCACACTGAGCAAGGTCTTCGCGTTTTAGGGATGGCGCAGAAGAATCTCTGTTTAGATGAGTCTTCTTCTCCCCCATCAGCGCTTCAACGCCTGAAGCGTGAGGACGTCGAGAAGGAAATGGAGTTTTTGGGGTTTCTTCTGTTCACGAACATGCTGCGTCCGTGTTCCGTGACAGCAATCAGCGAGCTCCAGGCGGGTGGATGCTGCGTCTACATGGCTACTGGAGACGGCCCTGTGACTGGTGCTGCAATTGGGTATCAAGCTGGAATTCTTCCCCCAAAGAGCAACATGCTTGTTTCTGGCACGTTAATTGACGACCAGCTGAAGTGGAAGATCAAGCCCTTCGGCCTCTCAATTCTTGACGCTTCAGCAGAAGAGGAGCCAGATGCGTTGTATGCTGGAGAAAGCAAGGAGTCCAATTCGCTGCTCCACCTGATTCAGGGACGGCCTCTGTCGTGAGTCGTGATGATCACACCAAATTGTTACATTTTGTTGCATTGCTTCAGGAAAGTCGGCCTATCAATAACAGGGGAAGCTTTTCGGCATCTTGTCACAGCGCATGCCTCAACGAGGAACGAGGTCGCACCATCTTCTCGATCGCTTCGATGTCGACGCCTTCTGTGCCGAAAAAAGCAGACTTCCTGCATGTTGCCTTTCACGCAAAGAGAAGGGGAAAATTTCGAACCAAAAATGGGACGCGAAACCGCGTAGCATGAACACACTCGAATTCGTTCTACGATACTTTCAAATTTTCAGCCGGATGTCACCCGATGATAAAGCTCTTCTGGTGCAGCAGTTGCAAGGGTTGTCCAATTCTCCAATTGTTGTAAGATGACAATGTTTTGCCTGTTTACTGGAATCTCTTTTTCAGGGGTTTTGCGGAGATGGTAGGTCGCTATCCTTCAACTAAGTTTCTGAACGTGTGTTTTGTTCCAGGAGCAAATGATTGCAACGCATTGAAAGCATGTGAGTGATGCACGAGATTCGACGCTCTTACCTCATCGATTTTGTTCCACTTCAGGCGACGTTGGTGTGAGTTTCATCCGTTCATTTGTTGGTGATGTCTTCTGTTATTAGATTTCTTTGAGCGCGAGAGAAGCATCAGTGGCTGCTCCGTTCAACTGCTCGAAGCAAAAAACAATCCGTGTTGTCCTTGATGTATTGAGGGAGGGGCGTGGTGCCTTAACGAACAGTATTCAGAACTTTCAATTTGTTGCCCTCTACGCCCTGTATGTTTCGTACTATAGTTTGCGTTGTTCATCCCTTCCGTGATTCTTCTTTAGTATCCAGCTCTGCGCTGTAACTCTTCTGAGCCATTTTGGATGCAGCTTGGCGGATGCTCAGTTTCTCTATCTTGACCTGGGAGTTGTTTTGCCGCTTACATATTTCATGTCTTGGGCTCGATCAAGCGAAACGCTCTACCGCGTAATGCCACCTCAATCTCTCCTTGCGTGGAGCATAATTGTGTCACTTGTTGGCCAAGTTGTCGTCCAAGTCCTCTTCCAAGCTGTCGCCCTTTTCTTCATCCTTCCTTTTCTTGGGTCATCTTTCTATGTTCCCTTCACTGTTGATCCCGACAACGAAGCGTACCATTTCGGATTCGAGAATACTGTTGCTTTCATGGTAGCAAATATTCAAACCGTTGTGGCCGCAATCGTTCTAGCCCTGGGCACTCGCCCTTGGAAAATCGGTACGCAACCCTGGTTTGCTCGCCCTTCATTTCCATTGTCTTCAGTGAAGCGTAACATAACTTTCCTTGTTATGGTTTCTTTCTTTACCATTGTTGGATTTGCCCTTGTTGTTCTCAATGAAGCCTCATACTTGTTATGGTTGAGGAGGCTTCTCGGTGTGACATCATTGCCGTTGGCATTCCGCACAATTTTGTTACTCACTATTAGCATCAATATCTTGATTTCGTTTGCGCTTGAAGAAGGTGATTCATACTTTACGAGATGCCAATGAAGATTTTTTCGTTGCGAGTCAGGCATCGTTCGAGGAATTCTTCGCCGTTTCGAGACTCGAGAAGACATGAAGAAATTAAATCGTGAATCTGCTCGCGGCCCAGGGGTGGATGAAGTGGTTCTTGAAACTTCATCTTCATGTAATGATATCCGTCTAAAAATTGAGGGATAGCGTGCTGCTACATATCGCGACGAGGTTGTTTTCCCTGGTTGATTATGCCACAGGATAAACACCGCCACGAAAGTTTCCCTCTTTATTGGCTGAATTGTTTTCTCTTCATTGAATTCGTTCGTTTCGCTAGTAGTTTTTTCTCATTCCTTTATCGCGCTTTCAATCGCGAAGTAGCTATTGCAATAGATCCAATGCCTTCGCCGATTTAATAGGATTAAAGATTCTTGAGCAACGAATGCAAGCTTGTTCCGTATCGTTACTTTTCACTAAGCACCTTCCATGAATGGTGATCCACAGAAAACACGGCTAAGTTGGGGAGTGTGGGTATTTCTGGGTATTTTTTTGCACAAGATGAATCATAATACACAAAAATTCATTTGGCACCCTGACTTACGCCCCAAAATGGCTCAGACCGTTCATCAATTCCTTGGCGCTCCAACAAAAACCGACGAGATTAGGTTATCAGTTGAAGGAGTTGTCTGACGAAGTGATTGCCGAACGAATTGATAGCCTTTTTGCACTGTCTTCACCGCCAAATCGTCGAATTTTCCAGTTGCAGGTATTTGCTCCATCTCATTCGATTCACAGCTTAATTTCTCCAGGACTTTCTAAAGCAACTGAAAGTTACTGATGGAGAATTCAATTTATCAAGGGCAATGCTGCTTAGCGAAATTTATGAATGGGAAGAAGACGGGCTCGGCAGCATCCATGCCATTCAATTGATCTTGCCCCGTCAACAATAGGACTGCATCCGTATCTGGGTTCGAGAAGTGCACTCGATGAATGGGGGAAAACCTTTAGCAACTCAAGCACCACCGGGATACGTGGACACTCGTGAACTTTCTGCATTCCTTCGCTCGCTTGCAGTCAACAATAGCGAAAATTGGCTCTCGGCATCTCGACCTAGTTTGCATCAAACGCCTTCCCTGTACGAAACCCCCCGCAGCCATTCGGCCAACGACTCAAACTGGAGCTCTACCACTCTCAAGCCATGCCGCCTCGGCAGTGGACATCCATCCATTACCGATTTTGGCTTCCTTCATGGATGGACGATTTCCCCGTGGCTCTTCCACAGAAAGAACAGTTTCGTGCAATGAGGTAGTGACCAACTCATCAATGTCCCTGCGAACTGTTCTCTGCCCTTCCAAGGAAAAAACCTTCACCAATCCAAACTCTCCTCGGCAATATTCAACATACGGTCGAGCAGAGTATGGACAGATGGGTCCCCGAGAAGCCGTCGTCCTTGGCGATTCAGGAGCCAGCAAAGCCACTTTGCCTACCAGTAGATATATTCCGAAATCGCGGCGCCATTGAACCTTTGCACACAACTTCTCCCAGCGATTCTTCATCTACAGGGTTTGATGGTGTTCCGCCAGCGCCTCACAGGTATATACGTTCCTCGACGAGAACTGAGGAGCACCCTGTCTTTTCAGCTCCCCTGTGGTCTGTGGAATGGACTATTTGCAACGTACGAGTCCGGATTACTCAACAGCACTTGAGATGATGAGAGAAGTATCAGTGAAACTTGGTCATGATTGGGATGACAATCCGGTTTTCTTGGCTGATTCCTTGCAACAATTGCTCGATAGCACAGGCCGCGTCGAAAAAGAGTGGATACTGAATGACAACAATTCCGTCCCCTAAAAAAACAGTACGACATTGAGTTGTGTTCAACAGAGGCGAGTTCGCGGCGACCTTCGTTGCGCACCAGTATTGGAAGTTCAGATTCCCCGAGCTCAATGTTGCCTCACATCAATTCAGATGCCCCAAAGCCAGTTTGCTCAACTGACAAGTTTCTCCGTTGCAGAACAATACATCAATTGCTGCCTTGAGATTCAATGCAATTCGCGATCCTTTCCACGGCCCTTCAGTTATGGCAACTGTGCATTTCTTTTGAAACTGTCTTCAAATCCAACAACTTGTGAGGTGAGATCTTTGCGAGGCTCTGGCCACGAGGTCATTCAAAGTCGTCGCTGCGACAGATTGATCGCTCGTGCTCCCAATTGAAGCTTTGGATTGCAAAACTTGCGTGGACCCCTTACAAGAATGGCACCCAATGAAACAGAGCACTCAACTGTGCGGTCAAGCGTTAAGATGTTGCCTCTGCTGCTCCAGTTGGTAAACCGGCTTGGAAACTGCTTTTCATGGTGATAACGATCTGGCAGGTCGACGAAGCGGCTGCAATTTGTCGCGATACTGTTATGGCCCGACTTGGTAATGATTTGGCGCAAAAGGCATCTGGTTCTCTAGACCAGCTCACTGAGCTTCACCCAACTGCTATTTTGAACATCGAGGGATTTGAGAAGGCAGAATTGACGGAAGAGCTGGTGAGAAGGCAAGGGCTCGATCCTTGATGGTGTAACTTGACAGATTCGAGGACGCCTGCATCGGCTACTGACCTTGAAATACTTCAGCATCCCGGGTGGTTGGGGAACAGAGGAGTATGAGAACAGTTTTGCGCGAAAAAGTGAGCAACCATAGACGGCATAAGTTGAACTTCTTCAAATTTCTAGGTCTACGATGCAATGGTTTTCTTGTTGGGGAATGAGCGCATTGGAACCCATAGTGCGTAAAATCACCAAGAAATCAGCAAAAATCACCATTGTCAAAACTATTAATAGTTTGTTCGTGGGCACCCACAGAACCATCCACATACACAGCACTTGTTTTTCAACAAAAGTCCAGGGAATTGATTGTCAAGTTGATACACTACCGGTCCACCAATTCCAGCGATTCCGGTTTGTTGGGTGATAGGGGCAATTGTATGATAGGTTGGCGTACTTGAAACTTGTTTCTTAGTAGCTTGGATGGAAACCTCTTGAGGCTCCATTTCAGAAATTGCCGTTTGCCTGAATTGATAGCTAGAAGGCGATTTCTCGCAGACTGTGAGCACTTGTGATGGAGGCAGATGGATTTGGGGGAACTGCAAATGCCAGCCTTCCCTTTTGTATTCTGTATCTTCCTGCCCAATGTGTTGTTGTTGCTGTGGTTGCTGCTGCGGCTGCTGCTGCGGTTGCTGCTGCGGCTGCTGCTGCGGTTGCTGCTGCTGGCGTGGCTGGTACTGCTGGTACTGCTGGTGCTGCTCGTACTGCTGGTGCTGCTCGTGCTGGTGCTGCTGCTGCTCGTGCTGGTGCTGGTGCTGCTGCTGGTAATGCTGCTCGTGCTGGTGCTGCTGTTGCTGCTCCTTCTGCTGTTGCGTTCGCTGCTGCGTCCCAGCAGGAGAGTCAGAACGGACAATCACAGGGGACGCGATGTGCGTGGGCAACGGCCCTGCAGTCTTTAGAAGAGTCTCTCCTTTCCAAAATGTTCCTGCTGCTTCGTGTTCCAATCGTTCTCGGGTGGCGTTTGTTCTTTGGGTAACCGCCTGAATTCGTTGGTCAACAATACTTGCATAGAATGTCTCTTACTTGTCTTCTTCCTGTACTCAGGTGATCCTTTGGCTTTATTGGTGGACTTCTTGTCCTGATTGTTTCCTGGGGAGGAACGGCGGCCGGCGGGGTCCTGATTGTTTCCTGGGGAGAAACGGACGCCGGCGGGGTCCTAATTGTTTCCTGGGGAGAAACGGTCGCCGGCAGGGTTCGTGGTTCGTTGGCCATTTGCTGTGGCTCTTGATACGCTGGTGGTTGAAAGTGCGATGGTTGTAAGATTCTAGGTTCAGCTGGTTGAATTGGGGACGGTGGAAAAGTTACCGTTGGTATCGGCTGATCACTCGGTTGTTCTTGGTTTTCTGGAAACCCTTCTCTCTGGTGGTACGATTCTCTCCTGGAGCGAACAGAAGTTGGAGAGGCAGCTGCGATAGGTGAAGGCTCAGTTGTTGGGAATAGCTGTCCAAGGAGTTTCAGCTGACGTTGAGTGAGACACGGGGAGAAGACGCAAGGTGGTGGCGGTCCTGATGGATAAGGCCGACGCCCCAGTTGCTTTCCCTTGCTCGTCGTCAAGTGGTAGAAGCAGCACGCCTGGCCCCCAAGTTTCCGTTGATGCGCCAATCCGTGACTGGAGCAACAGCAGCAGTGGCAACAGCTAGGGAGCTGAAGATTGAGGTTGACGCTTCGGCCACTGTCAACTTGAAATTGTGCAGGAGGCATCTGAATCTGCGGTAGTGGTTGCATTGGCTTCTGTGCGACCGTTTCGGCCTGAGTCCAGGAAACCGGTTTGAAACGGATGAACTAGTCCTCAGTAACCTAACAATGTTGTGGTCCAACGCCACTTAGCGGTGCATGCGATTATTGGGAAGTAGCCATCAATTGCATCTCACAAGACCATACCACGTCTTTCACGCCAATCTACCAGCAAGAACGCCAATCCCGCCCAATTTACCGAGTGAGTAAAAATTACAGAATTGCTCAATACAGAACTACTACAGTGAAGCATTCAAAAAGTGGCTGTAGAAAGAAAAAAGACACTTTCCCTTGAGTGCATAGAAATGACACTTCGACGACTCTTGAAGCAGATCTCATGCTCAGACAGCCAGCGGCTTGGAGACATCATCATATAATTGGGCCAGTCCAGATTCCCTATTATCCTGTACTAAAGATTGGACAGGACGCCAAATTGGTACACCTCTGACGCTTCTGTGCAGTAGACAACACGGTTAATTTTCTGCCATGGAGCTTTCCATTCAGCATGTTAACTACGCTGTTGGTGAATAGCTAGTTTTGACTTTTTCTCCCCCAACAAGCGCGAGCCCACCGCAATGAAGCAAAATCAAATCAGGCTTAGGATTTGGCTTCAGCCTAATAAAAGCCATCTACGGGAAGCCATTACCCTGTTTCCCCGTGAAGTTTGCCACACTGTAAAGGAGAATGATAACGTTCAGTGCCGCACGGAATCCAAAAGTAGCGGATCTAGGCCGCCAAGTGTCGGCAACGTCGGAATGGGTGGGGAAAAGATGCATGTGCTCCTTGCCTGTTCAATATGGATGGAATGAAGAGTATCATCAACATGATCCAGGGAAATTTCAAGCGGTTCAAAATGCTCAAATTCCGTTGTCATTGCCGGCGGAAACGTCGGGTTTTCGGACGAAAAAAAGAAAGACCAGCAAATTTGGAATTGACTCGTAGACCGGTGCAACTGGTTGCTCTCTATCCGTTCCCTCCCGACACCGCTTCCCTGAGAGTTTCAAGACCTCTTGCTGTTCCGCTACCAATCAATTCAATCAGGAGAACATCCTCATATTTAAAATCAGATGTATTGTCCTGCGGTTTTCACCATGCCCTTCTGTGGTGCTAGGCTCCCGTTTCTTTGGTGCGGTGTGGTTCTGGCGGACTTTCGAGGAAACGGTTTCTGGTGATCGTGGGCTACAACGTGACCGTTGAAAAATCCTCTCTAACGTTCAAAGAATAGCTGGTAGAAAGAAAAAAGACACTTCGCATTGATTTCACTGGATATGATACTACGACGACTCTCGACTGCAATCTGGGAGCCTTTTAGACATTCAGCCCAGTTTGCAGACATCGTATAATTCGGCCAGTCTAGAGCTATCTTGCGACCGACGAGGAAATAACTCGCCCACCATCGAGACCATCACTCCAAATTGATACATTTCTGGGGCTTCTTTATGTTGACCAACGCCGTCAATTTACTGCAATGGATTTACTCATTCAGCACATTCCTCCACTCCACCGTCTTGTTGGCTGCTCCCTGCAATTTCAAAATCGACAAAAACGAAATGTTAATTGTGCCTTCTGGTTTCCTATGCGTACATCAGTGTAGAATGGAAGGGCAACCGGAAATATCGAAAACAAATGAACTGCTTCCTCAGAGCTCATCGGATCCAAGGTACCAGTCGATATGGGTTGGGATGGTGCGTATGAAAATCACTGATATTATCCTGTGCAAAGATGTTTGTTCCTTTATAGAATAGTAGTTTTGTGCTACCACCTATTGCCGGCCTTATATGCATCCGCAAAGAAGAGCAGAAAATGTGTTGAACAAGCCCTTTCATAGAAGAGTAATCCTTCGCAGAATGCTGAGTGCATTGCTGAATAGAACAGCACAATGAGTGACTCGTTTGCTTCATGGTTTCTTCCCACAAGCAATCACTCAGGAGGAAAAAGAAAAAAAACGGTACCACACGGAAAAAGCCATCGCATGCTACTGCCCCGACCCACGCACCCGCAAGTCATAACCGCCGCGCTTCATAGCGTAGAGGTTGCAGAGACGCGCACCTTGGCACCAAAAACTCCTGAGAGTAAGGAACAACGGCTACGCAGATCCAGGTCAGATCTTGCATTGCCATCTCAACTGGGCTTTTCGACCAGCTTGCCAAGCATCTGCAGGGACGAAAATGTCAGCCACCTCGCTTTGGTCTACAGATATTGCACATCTGTTCAGTGATCGAAAAACAAACAGGTTTGACAGTTATACGCTTATTGCATGTAGGGAAATCCATATTCAGAAAAATCGCGGCATTTAGTCTTTTTTCTTTCTCTCCTCAGGCTTAACCTGATGATTCGAATGACTGAGCTCTGATGGAGACTCGGAGCCTTCTCGTTGTTTCGCAGACTTTCGGGCAGCGCACTGTGTTCTTCAATTGGCTTCTGCCTGGGCTTTCAATCTTCCCTGGTTCTGCACGGAGAGTCTGTTGTTTCCTTCTTCGAGAACGTCAAGACCGGCAGATGCCCTCCGGGGTGGTGGTGAAGAGAAACCTGGGAAGAAACCTGGGAAGAAACCTGGGAAGAAACCTCGGAAGAACCAGGTGTAGTCTCAAGCAATTTTTCGTAGCCAGGCGTTGTCTTTACTCCTGCAGCTTCCAGCGTACAGCGAGCAGTCTAGGGTTTCTGCTCCGCGATGTCGCTGATTCAGAGCCTCCTCGCGCCCCTAGACGATTTGTGATTCCTGTGATTTGAGTCCTCAGGGTCGCACCCAGATTTCCATACGAAGGCGCTTTCTCAACTCTGGTTTTCAGTCTTTGGAACACATTCATGGATGCGTTCAACTCTCCATCAAAGAAAATGGAAGAGGTATTGCCATCGTGGCTTTCCGGTGTTCGAATGGAAAAAACAATCGTAGAATTTCCAAGCGTCAAGAGGCTTGAAGCAGCCGATTTAAACTCACCACCTGCGGACATTGTAGGAAGATATGTGCGGTGTTTTTGCTGTGGATTCACACATTCCTAAAAACGACTTCGAATCTAGTGATTGAGCTGCTCAACGTTTTTGGCACTGTGCAGCAAACATTCATCTTCCCTGAAAATTGATGATTAGAAGTTTAAACAATAGAAAAAGTTTTAAATTGAATAGAGTCTAGAGTATAAGACTGTGGAGGGGCTACATCAACGGCGTGCTTGGCGGAAGCCTGCAAGCGAGAGAGGAGATAATCAAAATCCCAACGTTTTCAGATCTTACTGTGTTTTCGAGAGGGGACCTTCCACCCTTCTTCCTCTCGATACGTGGGCACCTCCAAAATGACTTTTCGGCCGTTGAAATAGTTAACTGAGAGGAACCTCTCTTCCTGACCTAGATTGGCCAGCCTGGAGAACAGAACACTGCTCAAAAGCTTCCAGCATGTCACTGAACTTACGAGCATCTCCGGCTAGTCCTTCGCTTGCTGGGGTATCGCCAGCCGGAGTCTTCTTCTCTGACAGTCATCGGCTCCACGTATCTTCGCCCCTTGAAGTAAAAAACGCCGACAATTTGTGGATTCATTCTCGTAGACTCTCTATTTTATATCAGATCTGACGGTACCGTCCCAGACGATAGACCTCTAAAAATTGTGCCGCCATTAGATGTACAGATGTTTGGTGTGCCCCAACTCAGGGTTGCAAAAGCACAGTAAGTGTTCACGGAGGTTGGGGTTCTGATTACCTTCCTCGTTCGCCCTTCCTTCTACTTCGATTTCTTCAAGTAAGAAGAGATGTGCGGTGTTTTTGCTGTGGATTCACACATTCCTAAAAACGACTTCGAATCTAGTGATTGAGCTGCTCAACGTTTTTGGCACTGTGCAGCAAACATTCATCTTCCCTGAAAATTGATGATTAGAAGTTTAAACAATAGAAAAAGTTTTAAATTGAATAGAGTCTAGAGTATAAGACTGTGGAGGGGCTACATCAACGGCGTGCTTCGCGGAAGCCTGCAGGCGAGAGAGGAGATAATCAAAATCCCAACGTTTTCAGATCTTACTGTGTTTTCGAGAGGGGACCTTCCACCCTTCTTCCTCTCGATACGTGGGCACCTCCAAAATGACTTTTCGGCCGTTGAAATAGTTAACTGAGAAGAACCTCTCTTCCTGACCTAGATTGGCCAGCCTGGAGAACAGAACACTGCTCAAAAGCTTCCAGCATGTCACTGAACTTACGAGCATCTCCGGCTAGTCCTTCGCTTGCTGGGGTATCGCCAGCCGGAGTCTTCTTCTCTGACAGTCATCGGCTCCACGTATCTTCGCCCCTTGAAGTAAAAAACGCCGACAATTTGTGGATTCTACCGTACCGTCCCAGACGATAGACCTCTAAAAATTGTGCCGCCATTAGATGTACAGATGTTTGGTGTGCCCCAACTATCAACGGCGTGCTTCGCGGAAGCCTGCAGGCGAGAGAGGAGATAATCAAAATCCCAACGTTTTCAGATCTTACTGTGTTTTCGAGAGGGGACCTTCCACCCTTCTTCCTCTCGATACGTGGGCACCTCCAAAATGACTTTTCGGCCGTTGAAATAGGTGACATGCTGGAAGCTTTTGAGCAGTGTTCTGTTCTCCAGGCTGGCCAATCTAGGTCAGGAAGAGAGGTTAGCCGATGACTGTCAGAGAAGAAGACTCCGGCTCAGGGTTGCAAAAGCACAGTAAGTGTTCACGGAGGTTGGGGTTCTGATTACCTTCCTCGTTCGCCCTTCCTTCTACTTCGATTTCTTCAAGTAAGAAGAGATGTGCGGTGTTTTTGCTGTGGATTCACACATTCCTAAAAACGACTTCGAATCTAGTGATTGAGCTGCTCAACGTTTTTGGCACTGTGCAGCAAGCATTCATCTTCCCTGAAAATTGATGATTAGAAGTTTAAACAATAGAAAAAGTTTTAAATTGAATAGAGTCTAGAGTATAAGACTGTGGAGGGGCTACATCAACGGCGTGCTTCGCGGAAGCCTGCAGGCGAGAGAGGAGATAATCAAAATCCCAACGTTTTCAGATCTTACTGTGTTTTCGAGAGGGGACCTTCCACCCTTCTTCCTCTCGATACGTGGGCACCTCCAAAATGACTTTTCGGCCGTTGAAATAGGTGACATGCTGGAAGCTTTTGAGCAGTGTTCTGTTCTCCAGGCTGGCCAATCTAGGTCAGGAAGAGAGGTTAGCCGATGACTGTCAGAGAAGAAGACTCCGGCTCAGGGTTGCAAAAGCACAGTAAGTGTTCACGGAGGTTGGGGTTCTGATTACCTTCCTCGTTCGCCCTTCCTTCTACTTCGATTTCTTCAAGTAAGAAGAGATGTGCGGTGTTTTTGCTGTGGATTCACACATTCCTAAAAACGACTTCGAATCTAGTGATTGAGCTGCTCAACGTTTTTGGCACTGTGCAGCAAACATTCATCTTCCCTGAAAATTGATGATTAGAAGTTTAAACAATAGAAAAAGTTTTAAATTGAATAGAGTCTAGAGTATAAGACTGTGGAGGGGGCTACATCAACGGCGTGCTTGGCGGAAGCCTGCAAGCGAGAGAGGAGATAATCAAAATCCCAACGTTTTCAGATCTTACTGTGTTTTCGAGAGGGGACCTTCCACCCTTCTTCCTCTCGATACGTGGGCACCTCCAAAATGACTTTTCGGCCATTGAAATAGTTAACTGAGAAGAACCTCTCTTCCTGAACTAGATTGGCCAGCCTGGAGAACAGAACACTGCTCAAAAGCTTCCAGCATGTCGAGACTGTCCGATTTGAATCTGTTTGATAGATCATCTTACGAGCATCTCCGGCTAGTCCTTCGCTTGCTGGGGTATCGCCAGCCGGAGTCTTCTTCTCTGACAGTCATCGGCTCCACGTATCTTCGCCCCTTGAAGTAGAAAACGCCGACAATTTGTGGATTCATTCTCGTAGACTCTCTATTTTATATCAGATCTGACGGTACCGTCCCAGACGATAGACCTCTAAAAATTGTGCCGCCATTAGATGTACAGATGTTTGGTGTGCCCCAACTCAGGGTTGCAAAAGCACAGTAAGTGTTCACGGAGGTTGGGGTTCTGATTATCTTCCTCGTTCGCCCTTCCTTCTACTTCGATTTCTTCAAGTAAGAAGAGGTGTGCGGTGTTTTTGCTGTGGATTCACACATTCCTAAAAACGACTTCGAATCTAGTGATTGAGCTGCTCAACGTTTTTGGCACTGTGCAGCAAACATTCATCTTCCCTGAAAATTGATGATTAGAAGTTTAAACAATAGAAAAAGTTTTAAATTGAATAGAGTCTAGAGTATAAGACTGTGGAGGGGGCTACATCAACGGCGTGCTTGGCGAAAACCTGCAAGCGGTAGAGGAGATAATCAAAATCCCAACGTTTTCAGATGCTTACTGTGTTTTCAAGAGGGGACCTTCCACCCTTCTTCCTCTCGATACGTGGGCACCTCCAAAATGACTTTTCGGCCGTTGAAATAGTTAACTGAGAAAAACCTCTCTTCCTGACCTAGATTGGCCAGCCTGGAGAACAGAACACTGCTCAAAAGCTTCCAGCATGTCACTGAACTTCCGAGCATCTCCGGCTAGTCCTTCGTTTGCTGGGGTATCGCCAGCCGGAGTCTTCTTCTCTGACAGTACGTATCTTCGCCCCTTGAAGTAAAAAACGCCGACAATTTGTGGATTCATTCTCGTAGACTCTCTAGTTTATATCAGATCTGACGGTACCGTCCCAGACGATAGACCTCTAAAAATTGTGCTGCCATTAGATGTACAGATGTTTGGTGTGCCCCAACTCAGGGTTGCAAAAGCACAGTAAGTGTTCACAGAGGTTGGGGTTCTGATTACCTTCCTCGTTCGCCCTTCCTTCTACTTCGATTTCTTCAAGTAAGAAGAGATGTGCGGTGTTTTTGCTGTGGATTCACACATTCCTAAAAACGACTTCGAATCTAGTGATTGAGCTGCTCAACGTTTTTGGCACTGTGCAGCAAACATTCATCTTCCCTGAAAATTGATGATTAGAAGTTTAAACAATAGAAAAAGTTTTAAATTGAATAGAGTCTAGAGTATAAGACTGTGGAGGGGGCTACATCAACGGCGTGCTTGGCGGAAGCCTGCAAGCGAGAGAGGAGATAATCAAAATCCCAACGTTTTCAGATCTTACTGTGTTTTCGAGAGGGGACCTTCCACCCTTCTTCCTCTCGATACGTGGGCACCTCCAAAATGACTTTTCGGCCATTGAAATAGTTAACTGAGAAGAACCTCTCTTCCTGACCTAGATTGGCCAGCCTGGAGAACAGAACACTGCTCAAAAGCTTCCAGCATGTCACTGAACTTACGAGCATCTCCGGCTAGTCCTTCGCTTGCTGGGGTATCGCCAGCCGGAGTCTTCTTCTCTGACAGTCATCGGCTCCACGTATCTTCGCCCCTTGAAGTAAAAAACGCCGACAATTTGTGGATTCATTCTCGTAGACTCTCTTTTATATCAGATCTGACGGTACCGTCCCAGACGATAGACCTCTAAAAATTGTGCCGCCATTAGATGTACAGATGTTTGGTGTGCCCCAACTCAGGGTTGCAAAAGCACAGTAAGTGTTCACCGGAGGTTGGGGTTCTGATTACCTTCCTCGTTCGCCCTTCCTTCTACTTCGATTTCTTCAAGTAAGAAGAGATGTGCGGTGTTTTTGCTGTGGATTCACACATTCCTAAAAACGACTTCGAATCTAGTGATTGAGCTGCTCAACGTTTTTGGCACTGTGCAGCAAACATTCATCTTCCCTGAAAATTGATGATTAGAAGTTTAAACAATAGAAAAAGTTTTAAATTGAATAGAGTCTAGAGTATAAGACTGTGGAGGGGGCTACATCAACGGCGTGCTTGGCGGAAGCCTGCAAGCGAGAGAGGAGATAATCAAAATCCCAACGTTTTCAGATCTTACTGTGTTTTCGAGAGGGGACCTTCCACCCTTCTTCCTCTCGATACGTGGGCACCTCCAAAATGACTTTTCGGCCATTGAAATAGTTAACTGAGAAGAACCTCTCTTCCTGAACTAGATTGGCCAGCCTGGAGAACAGAACACTGCTCAAAAGCTTCCAGCATGTCACTGAACTTACGAGCATCTCCGGCTAGTCCTTCGCTTGCTGGGGTATCGCCAGCCGGAGTCTTCTTCTCTGACAGTCATCGGCTCATTCTCGTAGACTCTCTATTTTATATCAGATCTGACGGTACCGTCCCAGACGATAGACGTCTAAAAATTGTGCCGCCATTAGATGTACAGATGTTTGGTGTGCCCCAACTCAGGGTTGCAAAAGCACAGTAAGTGTTCACGGAGGTTGGGGTTCTGATTATCTTCCTCGTTCGCCCTTCCTTCTACTTCGATTTCTTCAAGTAAGAAGAGATGTGCGGTGTTTTTGCTGTGGATTCACACATTCCTAAAAACGACTTCGAATCTAGTGATTGAGCTGCTCAACGTTTTTGGCACTGTGCAGCAAACATTCATCTTCCCTGAAAATTGATGATTAGAAGTTTAAAACAATAGAAAAAGTTTTAAATTGAATAGAGTCTAGAGTATAAGTCTGTGGAGGGGCTACATCAACGGCGGTGCTTGGCGGAAGCCTGCAAGCGAGAGAGGAGATAATCCAAATCCCAACGTTTTCAGATCTTACTGTGTTTTCGAGAGGGGACCTTCCACCCTTCTTCCCTCTCGATACGTGGGCACCTCCAAAATGACTTTTCGGCCGTTGAAATAGTTAACTGAGAAGAACCTTTCTTCCTGAACTAGATTGGCCAGCCTGGAGAATAGAACACTGCTCAAAAGCTTCCAGCATGTCACTGAACTTACGAGCATCTCCGGCTAGTCCTTCGCTTGCTGGGGTATCGCCAGCCGGAGTCTTCTTCTCTGACAGTCATCGGCTCCACGTATCTTCGCCCCTTGAAGTAGAAAACGCCGGACAATTTGTGGATTCAGACTCTCTATTTTATATCAGATCTGACGGTACCGTCCCAGACGATAGACCTCTAAAAATTGTGCCGCCATTAGATGTACAGATGTTTGGTGTGCCCCAACTCAGGGTTGCAAAAGCACAGTAAGTGTTCACGGAGGGTTGGGGTTCTGATTACCTTCCTCGTTCGCCCTTCCTTCTACTTCGATTTCTTCAAGTAAGAAGAGATGTGCGGTGTTTTTTGCTGTGGATTCACACATTCCTAAAAACGACTTCGAATCTAGTGATTGAGCTGCTCAACGTTTTTGGCACTGTGCAGCAAACATTCATCTTCCCTGAAAATTGGTGATTAGAAGTTTAAACAATAGAAAAAGTTTTAAATTGAATAGAGTCTAGAATATAAGACTGTGGAGGGGCTACATCAACGGCGTGCTTGGCGGAAGCCTGCAAGCGAGAGAGGAGATAATCAAAATCCCAACGTTTTCAGATCTTACTGTGTATTCGAGAGGGGACCTTCCACCCTTCTTCCTCTCGATACGTGGGCACCTCCAAAATGACTTTTCGGCCATTGAAATAGTTAACTGAGAAGAACCTCTCTTCCTGACCTAGATTGGCCAGCCTGGAGAACAGAACACTGCTCAAAAGCTTCCAGCATGTCACTGAACTTACGAGCATCTCCGGCTAGTCCTTCGCTTGCTGGGGTATCGCCAGCCGGAGTCTTCTTCTCTGACAGTCATCGGCTCCACGTATCTTCGCCCCTTGAAGTAAAAAAACGCCGACAATTTGTGGATTCATTCTCGTAGACTCTCTATTTTATATCAGATCTGACGGTACCGTCCCCAGACGATAGACGTCTAAAAATTGTGCCGCCATTAGATGTACAGATGTTTGGTGTGCCCCAACTCAGGGTTGCAAAAGCACAGTAAGTGTTCACGGAGGTTGGGGTTCTGATTATCTTCCTCGTTCGCCCTTCCTTCTACTTCGATTTCTTCAAGTAAGAAGAGATGTGCGGTGTTTTTGCTGTGGATTCACACATTCCTAAAAACGACTTCGAATCTAGTGATTGAGCTGCTCAACGTTTTTGGCACTGTGCAGCAAACATTCATCTTCCCTGAAAATTGGTGATTAGAAGTTTAAACAATAGAAAAAGTTTTAAATTGAATAGAGTCTAGAGTATAAGACTGTGGAGGGGGCTACATCAACGGCGTGCTTGGCGGAAGCCTGCAAGCGAGAGAGGAGATAATCAAAATCCCAACGTTTTCAGATCTTACTGTGTTTTCGAGAGGGGACCTTCCACCCTTCTTCCTCTCGATAACGTGGGCACCTCCAAAAATGACTTTTCGGCCATTGAAATAGTTAACTGAGAAGAACCTTTCTTCCTGAACTAGATTGGCCAGCCTGGAGAATAGAACACTGCTCAAAAGCTTCCAGCATGTCACTGAACTTACGAGCATCTCCGGCTAGTCCTTCGCTTGCTGGGGTATCGCCAGCCGGAGTCTTCTTCTCTGACAGTCATCGGCTCCACGTATCTTCGCCCCTTGAAGTAGAAAACGCCGACAATTTTGTGGATTCATTCTCGTAGACTCTCTATTTTATATCAGATCTGACGGTACTAAAAATTGTGCCGCCATTAGATGTACAGATGTTTGGTGTGCCCCAACTCAGGGTTGCAAAAGCACAGTAAGTGTTCACGGAGGTTGGGGTTCTGATTACCTTCCTCGTTCGCCCTTCCTTCTACTTCGATTTCTTCAAGTAAGAAGAGATGTGCGGTGTTTTTGCTGTGGATTCACACATTCCTAAAAACGACTTCGAATCTAGTGATTGAGCTGCTCAACGTTTTTGGCACTGTGCAGCAAAACATTCATCTTCCCTGAAAATTGATGATTAGAAGTTTAAACAATAGAAAAAGTTTTAAATTGAATAGAGTCTAGAATATAAGACTGTGGAGGGGCTACATCAACGGCGTGCTTGGCGGAAGCCTGCAAGCGAGAGAGGAGATAATCAAAATCCCTTTTCAGATCTTACTGTGTTTTCGAGAGGGGACCTTCCACCCTTCTTCCTCTCGATACGTGGGCACCTCCAAAATGACTTTTCGGCCGTTGAAATAGTTAACTGAGAAGAACCTCTCTTCCTGACCTAGATTGGCCAGCCTGGAGAACAGAACACTGCTCAAAAGCTTCCAGCATGTCACTGAACTTACGAGCATCTCCGGCTAGTCCTTCGCTTGCTGGGGTATCGCCAGCCTTCTCTGACAGTCATCGGCTCCACGTATCTTCGCCCCTTGAAGTAAAAAACGCCGACAATTTGTGGATTCATTCTCGTAGACTCTCTATTTTATATCAGATCTGACGGTACCGTCCCAGACGATAGACCTCTAAAAATTGTGCCGCCATTAGATGTACAGATGTTTGGTGTGCCCCAACTCAGGGTGGCAAAAGCACAGTAAGTGTTCACGTTGGGGTTCTGATTACCTTCCTCGTTCGCCCTTCCTTCTACTTCGATTTCTTCAAGTAAGAAGAGATGTGCGGTGTTTTTGCTGTGGATTCACACATTCCTAAAAACGACTTCGAATCTAGTGATTGAGCTGCTCAACGTTTTTGGCACTGTGCAGCAAATCTTTCCTGAAAATTGGTGATTAGAAGTTTAAACAATAGAAAAAGTTTTAAATTGAATAGAGTCTAGAGTATAAGACTGTGGAGGGGGCTACATCAACGGCGTGCTTGGCGGAAGCCTGCAAGCGAGAGAGGAGATAATCAAAATCCCAACGTTTTCAGATCTTACTGTGTTTTCGAGAGGGGACCTTCCACCCTTCTTCCTCTCGATACGTGGGCACCTCCAAAATGACTTTTCGGCCGTTGAAATAGTTAACTGAGAAGAACCTCTCTTCCTGACCTAGATTGGCCAGCCTGGAGAACAGAACACTGCTCAAAAGCTTCCAGCATGTCACTGAACTTACGAGCATCTCCGGCTAGTCCTTCGCTTGCTGGGGTATCGCCAGCCGGAGTCTTCTTCTCTGACAGTCATCGGCTCCACGTATCTTCGCCCCTTGAAGTAAAAAACGCCGACAATTTGTGGATTCATTCTCGTAGACTCTCTATTTTATATCAGATCTGACGGTACCGTCCCAGACGATAGACCTCTAAAAATTGTGCCGCCATTAGATGTACAGATGTTTGGTGTGCCCCAACTCAGGGTGGCAAAAGCACAGTAAGTGTTCACGTTGGGGTTCTGATTACCTTCCTCGTTCGCCCTTCCTTCTACTTCGATTTCTTCAAGTAAGAAGAGATGTGCGGTGTTTTTGCTGTGGATTCACACATTCCTAAAAACGACTTCGAATCTAGTGATTGAGCTGCTCAACGTTTTTGGCACTGTGCAGCAAACATTCATCTTCCCTGAAAATTGATGATTAGAAGTTTAAACAATAGAAAAAGTTTTAAATTGAATAGAGTCTAGAGTATAAGACTGTGGAGGGGGCTACATCAACGGCGTGCTTGGCGGAAGCCTGCAAGCGAGAGAGGAGATAATCAAAATCCCAACGTTTTCAGATCTTACTGTGTTTTCGAGAGGGGACCTTCCACCCTTCTTCCTCTCGATACGTGGGCACCTCCAAAATGACTTTTCGGCCATTGAAATAGTTAACTGAGAAGAACCTCTCTTCCTGAACTAGATTGGCCAGCCTGGAGAACAGAACACTGCTCAAAAGCTTCCAGCATGTCGAGACTGTCCGATTTGAATCTGTTTGATAGATCATCTTACGAGCATCTCCGGCTAGTCCTTCGCTTGCTGGGGTATCGCCAGCCGGAGTCTTCTTCTCTGACAGTCATCGGCTCCACGTATCTTCGCCCCTTGAAGTAGAAAACGCCGACAATTTGTGGATTCATTCTCGTAGACTCTCTATTTTATATCAGATCTGACGGTACCGTCCCAGACGATAGACCTCTAAAAATTGTGCCGCCATTAGATGTACAGATGTTTGGTGTGCCCCAACTCAGGGTTGCAAAAGCACAGTAAGTGTTCACGGAGGTTGGGGTTCTGATTATCTTCCTCGTTCGCCCTTCCTTCTACTTCGATTTCTTCAAGTAAGAAGAGGTGTGCGGTGTTTTTGCTGTGGATTCACACATTCCTAAAAACGACTTCGAATCTAGTGATTGAGCTGCTCAACGTTTTTGGCACTGTGCAGCAAACATTCATCTTCCCTGAAAATTGATGATTAGAAGTTTAAACAATACAAAAAGTTTTAAATTGAATAGAGTCTAGAGTACAAGACTGGGGAAGGGCTACATCAACGGCGTGCTTGGCGAAAACCTGCAAGCGGTAGAGGAGATAATCAAAATCCCAACGTTTTCAGATGCTTACTAGAGGGGACCTTCCACCCTTCTTCCTCTCGATACGTGGGCACCTCCAAAATGACTTTTCGGCCGTTGAAATAGTTAACTGAGAAGAACCTCTCTTCCTGACCTAGATTGGCCAGCCTGGAGAACAGAACCCTGCTCAAAAGCTTCCAGCATGTCACTGAACTTACGAGCATCTCCGGCTAGTCCTTCGCTTGCTGGGGTATCGCCAGCCGGAGTCTTCTTCTCTGACAGTCATCGGCTCCACGTATCTTCGCCCCTTGAAGTAAAAAACGCCGACAATTTGTGGATTCTACCGTACCGTCCCAGACGATAGACCTCTAAAAATTGTGCCGCCATTAGATGTACAGATGTTTGGTGTGCCCCAACTATCAACGGCGTGCTTCGCGGAAGCCTGCAGGCGAGAGAGGAGATAATCAAAATCCCAACGTTTTCAGATCTTACTGTGTTTTCGAGAGGGGACCTTCCACCCTTCTTCCTCTCGATACGTGGGCACCTCCAAAATGACTTTTCGGCCGTTGAAATAGTTAACTGAGAAGAACCTCTCTTCCTGACCTAGATTAGCCTGGAGAACAGAACACTGCTCAAAAGCTTCCAGCATGTCACTGAACTTACGAGCATCCCCGGCCTGCAGGCGAGAGAGGAGATAATCAAAATCCCAACGTTTTCAGATCTTACTGTGTTTTCGAGAGGGGACCTTCCACCCTTCTTCCTCTCGATACGTGGGCACCTCCAAAATGACTTTTCGGCCGTTGAAATAGGTGACATGCTGGAAGCTTTTGAGCAGTGTTCTGTTCTCCAGGCTGGCCAATCTAGGTCAGGAAGAGAGGTTAGCCGATGACTGTCAGAGAAGAAGACTCCGGCTCAGGGTTGCAAAAGCACAGTAAGTGTTCACGGAGGTTGGGGTTCTGATTATCTTCCTCGTTCGCCCTTCCTTCTACTTCGATTTCTTCAAGTAAGAAGAGGTGTGCGGTGTTTTTGCTGTGGATTCACACATTCCTAAAAACGACTTCGAATCTAGTGATTGAGCTGCTCAACGTTTTTGGCACTGTGCAGCAAACATTCATCTTCCCTGAAAATTGATGATTAGAAGTTTAAACAATACAAAAAGTTTTAAATTGAATAGAGTCTAGAGTACAAGACTGGGGAAGGGCTACATCAACGGCGTGCTTGGCGAAAACCTGCAAGCGGTAGAGGAGATAATCAAAATCCCAACGTTTTCAGATGCTTACTAGAGGGGACCTTCCACCCTTCTTCCTCTCGATACGTGGGCACCTCCAAAATGACTTTTCGGCCGTTGAAATAGTTAACTGAGAAGAACCTCTCTTCCTGACCTAGATTGGCCAGCCTGGAGAACAGAACCCTGCTCAAAAGCTTCCAGCATGTCACTGAACTTACGAGCATCTCCGGCTAGTCCTTCGCTTGCTGGGGTATCGCCAGCCGGAGTCTTCTTCTCTGACAGTCATCGGCTCCACGTATCTTCGCCCCTTGAAGTAAAAAACGCCGACAATTTGTGGATTCTACCGTACCGTCCCAGACGATAGACCTCTAAAAATTGTGCCGCCATTAGATGTACAGATGTTTGGTGTGCCCCAACTATCAACGGCGTGCTTCGCGGAAGCCTGCAGGCGAGAGAGGAGATAATCAAAATCCCAACGTTTTCAGATCTTACTGTGTTTTCGAGAGGGGACCTTCCACCCTTCTTCCTCTCGATACGTGGGCACCTCCAAAATGACTTTTCGGCCGTTGAAATAGTTAACTGAGAAGAACCTCTCTTCCTGACCTAGATTAGCCTGGAGAACAGAACACTGCTCAAAAGCTTCCAGCATGTCACTGAACTTACGAGCATCCCCGGCCTGCAGGCGAGAGAGGAGATAATCAAAATCCCAACGTTTTCAGATCTTACTGTGTTTTCGAGAGGGGACCTTCCACCCTTCTTCCTCTCGATACGTGGGCACCTCCAAAATGACTTTTCGGCCGTTGAAATAGGTGACATGCTGGAAGCTTTTGAGCAGTGTTCTGTTCTCCAGGCTGGCCAATCTAGGTCAGGAAGAGAGGTTAGCCGATGACTGTCAGAGAAGAAGACTCCGGCTCAGGGTTGCAAAAGCACAGTAAGTGTTCACGGAGGTTGGGGTTCTGATTACCTTCCTCGTTCGCCCTTCCTTCTACTTCGATTTCTTCAAGTAAGAAGAGATGTGCGGTGTTTTTGCTGTGGATTCACACATTCCTAAAAACGACTTCGAATCTAGTGATTGAGCTGCTCAACGTTTTTGGCACTGTGCAGCAAGCATTCATCTTCCCTGAAAATTGATGATTAGAAGTTTAAACAATAGAAAAAGTTTTAAATTGAATAGAGTCTAGAGTATAAGACTGTGGAGGGGCTACATCAACGGCGTGCTTCGCGGAAGCCTGCAGGCGAGAGAGGAGATAATCAAAATCCCAACGTTTTCAGATCTTACTGTGTTTTCGAGAGGGGACCTTCCACCCTTCTTCCTCTCGATACGTGGGCACCTCCAAAATGACTTTTCGGCCGTTGAAATAGTTAACTGAGAAGAACCTCTCTTCCTGAACTAGATTGGCCAGCCTGGAGAACAGAACACTGCTCAAAAGCTTCCAGCATGTCACTGAACTTACGAGCATCCCCGGCCTGCAGGCGAGAGAGGAGATAATCAAAATCCCAACGTTTTCAGATCTTACTGTGTTTTCGAGAGGGGACCTTCCACCCTTCTTCCTCTCGATACGTGGGCACCTCCAAAATGACTTTTCGGCCGTTGAAATAGGTGACATGCTGGAAGCTTTTGAGCAGTGTTCTGTTCTCCAGGCTGGCCAATCTAGGTCAGGAAGAGAGGTTAGCCGATGACTGTCAGAGAAGAAGACTCCGGCTCAGGGTTGCAAAAGCACAGTAAGTGTTCACGGAGGTTGGGGTTCTGATTACCTTCCTCGTTCGCCCTTCCTTCTACTTCGATTTCTTCAAGTAAGAAGAGATGTGCGGTGTTTTTGCTGTGGATTCACACATTCCTAAAAACGACTTCGAATCTAGTGATTGAGCTGCTCAACGTTTTTGGCACTGTGCAGCAAACATTCATCTTCCCTGAAAATTGATGATTAGAAGTTTAAACAATAGAAAAAGTTTTAAATTGAATAGAGTCTAGAGTATAAGACTGTGGAGGGGGCTACATCAACGGCGTGCTTGGCGGAAGCCTGCAAGCGAGAGAGGAGATAATCAAAATCCCAACGTTTTCAGATCTTACTGTGTTTTCGAGAGGGGACCTTCCACCCTTCTTCCTCTCGATACGTGGGCACCTCCAAAATGACTTTTCGGCCATTGAAATAGTTAACTGAGAAGAACCTCTCTTCCTGAACTAGATTGGCCAGCCTGGAGAACAGAACACTGCTCAAAAGCTTCCAGCATGTCGAGACTGTCCGATTTGAATCTGTTTGATAGATCATCTTACGAGCATCTCCGGCTAGTCCTTCGCTTGCTGGGGTATCGCCAGCCGGAGTCTTCTTCTCTGACAGTCATCGGCTCCACGTATCTTCGCCCCTTGAAGTAGAAAACGCCGACAATTTGTGGATTCATTCTCGTAGACTCTCTATTTTATATCAGATCTGACGGTACCGTCCCAGACGATAGACCTCTAAAAATTGTGCCGCCATTAGATGTACAGATGTTTGGTGTGCCCCAACTCAGGGTTGCAAAAGCACAGTAAGTGTTCACGGAGGTTGGGGTTCTGATTATCTTCCTCGTTCGCCCTTCCTTCTACTTCGATTTCTTCAAGTAAGAAGAGGTGTGCGGTGTTTTTGCTGTGGATTCACACATTCCTAAAAACGACTTCGAATCTAGTGATTGAGCTGCTCAACGTTTTTGGCACTGTGCAGCAAACATTCATCTTCCCTGAAAATTGATGATTAGAAGTTTAAACAATAGAAAAAGTTTTAAATTGAATAGAGTCTAGAGTATAAGACTGTGGAGGGGGCTACATCAACGGCGTGCTTGGCGAAAACCTGCAAGCGGTAGAGGAGATAATCAAAATCCCAACGTTTTCAGATGCTTACTGTGTTTTCAAGAGGGGACCTTCCACCCTTCTTCCTCTCGATACGTGGGCACCTCCAAAATGACTTTTCGGCCGTTGAAATAGTTAACTGAGAAAAACCTCTCTTCCTGACCTAGATTGGCCAGCCTGGAGAACAGAACACTGCTCAAAAGCTTCCAGCATGTCACTGAACTTCCGAGCATCTCCGGCTAGTCCTTCGTTTGCTGGGGTATCGCCAGCCGGAGTCTTCTTCTCTGACAGTACGTATCTTCGCCCCTTGAAGTAAAAAACGCCGACAATTTGTGGATTCATTCTCGTAGACTCTCTAGTTTATATCAGATCTGACGGTACCGTCCCAGACGATAGACCTCTAAAAATTGTGCTGCCATTAGATGTACAGATGTTTGGTGTGCCCCAACTCAGGGTTGCAAAAGCACAGTAAGTGTTCACAGAGGTTGGGGTTCTGATTACCTTCCTCGTTCGCCCTTCCTTCTACTTCGATTTCTTCAAGTAAGAAGAGATGTGCGGTGTTTTTGCTGTGGATTCACACATTCCTAAAAACGACTTCGAATCTAGTGATTGAGCTGCTCAACGTTTTTGGCACTGTGCAGCAAGCATTCATCTTCCCTGAAAATTGATGATTAGAAGTTTAAACAATAGAAAAAGTTTTAAATTGAATAGAGTCTAGAGTATAAGACTGTGGAGGGGGCTACATCAACGGCGTGCTTGGCGAAAACCTGCAAGCGGTAGAGGAGATAATCAAAATCCCAACGTTTTCAGATGCTTTACTGTGTTTTCAAGAGGGGACCTTCCACCCTTCTTCCTCTCGATACGTGGGCACCTCCAAAATGACTTTTCGGCCGTTGAAATAGTTAACTGAGAAAAGCCTCTCTTCCTGACCTAGATTGGCCAGCCTGGAGAATACAGAACACTGCTCAAAAGCTTCCAGCATGTCACTGAACTTCCGAGCATCTCCGGCTAGTCCTTCGCTTGCTGGGGTATCGCCAGCCGGAGTCTTCTTCTCTGACAGTCATCGGCTCCACGTATCTTCGCCCCTTGAAGTAAAAAACGCCGACAATTTGTGGATTCATTCTCGTAGACTCTCTATTTTATATCAGATCTGACGGTACCGTCCCAGACGATAGACCTCTAAAAATTGTGCCGCCATTAGATGTACAGATGTTTGGTGTGCCCCAACTCAGGGTTGCCAAAGCACAGTAAGGGTTCACGGAGGTTGGGGTTCTGATTACCTTCCTCGTTCGCCCCTCCTTCTACTTCGATTTCTTCAAGTAAGAAGAGATGTGCGGTGTTTTTGCTGTGGATTCACACATTCCTAAAAACGACTTCGAATCTAGTGATTGAGCTGCTCAACGTTTTTGGCACTGTGCAGCAAACATTCATCTTTCCTGAAAATTGGTGATTAGAAGTTTAAACAATAGAAAAAGTTTTAAATTGAATAGAGTCTAGAGTACAAGACTGGGGAGGGGCTACATCAACGGCGTGCTTGGCGAAAACCTGCAAGCGATAGAGGAGATAATCAAAATCCCAACGTTTTCAGATGCTTACTGTGTTTTCGAGAGGGGACCTTCCACCCTTCTTCCTCTCGATACGTGGGCACCTCCAAAATGACTTTTCGGCCGTTGAAATAGTTAACTGAGAAGAACCTCTCTTCCTGACTTAGATTGGCCAGCCTGGAGAACAGAACACTGCTCAAAAGCTTCCAGCATGTCACTGAACTTACGAGCATCTCCGGCTAGTCCTTCGCTTGCTAGGGTATCGCCAGCCGGAGTCTTCTTCTCTGACAGTCATCGGCTCCACGTATCTTCGCCCCTTGAAGTAAAAAACGCCGACAATTTGTGGATTCATTCTCGTAGACTCTCTATTTTATATCAGATCTGACGGTACCGTCCCAGACGATAGACCTCTAAAAATTGTGCCGCCATTAGATGTACAGATGTTTGGTGTGCCCCAACTCAGGGTTGCAAAAGCACAGTAAGGGTTCACGGAGGTTGGGGTTCTGATTACCTTCCTCGTTCGCCCCTCCTTCTACTTCGATTTCTTCAAGTAAGAAGAGATGTGCGGTGTTTTTGCTGTGGATTCACACATTCCTAAAAACGACTTCGAATCTAGTGATTGAGCTGCTCAACGTTTTTGGCACTGTGCAGCAAACATTCATCTTCCCTGAAAATTGATGATTAGAAGTTTAAACAATAGAAAAAGTTTTAAATTGAATAGAGTCTAGAGTATAAGTCTGTGGAGGGGCTACATCAACGGCGTGCTTGGCGGAAGCCTGCAAGCGAGAGAGGAGATAATCAAAATCCCAACGTTTTCAGATCTTACTGTGTTTTCGAGAGGGGACCTTCCACCCTTCTTCCTCTCGATACGTGGGCACCTCCAAAATGACTTTTCGGCCGTTGAAATAGTTAACTGAGAAGAACCTCTCTTCCTGACCTAGATTGGCCAGCCTGGAGAACAGAACACTGCTCAAAAGCTTCCAGCATGTCACTGAACTTACGAGCATCTCCGGCTAGTCCTTCGCTTGCTGGGGTATCGCCAGCCGGAGTCTTCTTCTCTGACAGTCATCGGCTCCACGTATCTTCGCCCCTTGAAGTAAAAAACGCCGACAATTTGTGGATTCATTCTCGTAGACTCTCTATTTTATATCAGATCTGACGGTACCGTCCCAGACGATAGACCTCTAAAAATTGTGCCGCCATTAGATGTACAGATGTTTGGTGTGCCCCAACTCAGGGTGGCAAAAGCACAGTAAGTGTTCACGTTGGGGTTCTGATTACCTTCCTCGTTCGCCCTTCCTTCTACTTCGATTTCTTCAAGTAAGAAGAGATGTGCGGTGTTTTTGCTGTGGATTCACACATTCCTAAAAACGACTTCGAATCTAGTGATTGAGCTGCTCAACGTTTTTGGCACTGTGCAGCAAACATTCATCTTCCCTGAAAATTGATGCAAACATTCATCTTCCCTGAAAATTGATGATTAGAAGTTTAAACAATAGAAAAAGTTTTAAATTGAATAGAGTCAAGAGTATAAGACTGTGGAGGGGGCTACATCAACGGCGTGCTTGGCGGAAGCCTGCAAGCGAGAGAGGAAGATAATCAAAATCCCAACGTTTTCAGATCTTTACTGTGTTTTCGAGAGGGGACCTTCCACCCTTCTTCCTCTCGATACGTGGGCACCTCCAAAATGACTTTTCGGCCATTGAAATAGTTAACTGAGAAGAACCTCTCTTCCTGAACTAGATTGGCCAGCCTGGAGAACAGAACACTGCTCAAAAGCTTCCAGCATGTCACTGAACTTACGAGCATCTCCGGCTAGTCCTTCGCTTGCTGGGGTATCGCCAGCCGGAGTCTTCTTCTCTGACAGTCACTCGGCTCATTCTCGTAGACTCTCTATTTTATATCAGATCTGACGGTACCGTCCCAGACGATAGACGTCTAAAAATTGTGCCGCCATTAGATGTACAGATGTTTGGTGTGCCCCAACTCAGGGTTGCAAAAGCACAGTAAGTGTTCACGGAGGTTGGGGTTCTGATTATCTTCCTCGTTCGCACCTTCCTTCTACTTCGATTTCTTCAAGTAAGAAGAGATGTGCGGTGTTTTTGCTGTGTAAGAAGAGATGTGCGGTGTTTTTTGCTGTGGATTCACACATTCCTAAAAACGACTTCGAATCTAGTGATTGAGCTGCTCAAACGTTTTTGGCACTGTGCAGCAAACATTCATCTTCCCTGAAAATTGATGATTAGAAGTTTAAACAATAGAAAAAGTTTTAAATTGAATAGAGTCTAGAGTATAAGACTGTGGAGGGGGCTACATCAACGGCGTGCTTGGCGGAAGCCTGCAAGCGAGAGAGGAGATAATCAAAATCCCAACGTTTTCAGATCTTACTGTGTTTTTCGAGAGGGGGACCTTCCACCCTTCTTCCTCTCGATACGTGGGCACCTCCAAAATGACTTTTCGGGCCGTTGAAATAGTTAACTGAGAAGAACCTTTCTTCCTGAACTAGATTGGCCAGCCTGGAGAATAGAACACTGCTCAAAAGCTTCCAGCATGTCACTGAACTTACGAGCATCTCCGGCTAGTCCTTCGCTTGCTGGGGTATCGCCAGCCGGAGTCTTCTTCTCTGACAGTCATCGGCTCCACGTATCTTCGCCCCCTTGAAGTAGAAAAACGCCGACAATTTGTGGATTCATTCTCGTAGACTCTCTATTTTATATCAGATTCTGACGGTACCGTCCCAGACGATAGACCTCTAAAAATTGTGCCGCCATTAGATGTACAGATGTTTGGTGTGCCCCAACTCAGGGTTGCAAAAGCACAGTAAGTGTTCACGGAGGTTTGGGGTTCTGATTACCTTCCTCGTTCGCCCTTCCTTCTACTTCGATTTCTTCAAGTAAGAAGAGATGTGCGGTGTTTTTGCTGTGGATTTCACACATTCCTAAAAAA